AGAGAACTGAAAGTGAAATATTCAGTTCCATGATGATTTTCAGATGATAGCAAGCAGAGAGCATCGATTCCATGGAACACCAATTAAAAAGAAGACCCTGGGTTTGCTTTAAACTCAACAATCGTTTTGTTTTTGTTACCAAACTGATTTTTATGCCAATATTTAAAAGAATGAATTTAAAATAGTCTTTACAATGTATTGATGAAAAGGAGGAAAACTAAATCATGATAAATAATTTCTGAAAGCTATACAACAAATTGGGGGGGGGGTTAGGGTGCTGAAATGTTCCCAACCCAATAAATAGAATCAAAGAGAAAACCTGATGTCTGTTCATTTGATCAGATGAAGAACTTTCCATCACTCCACCTTGTAAACATACAAAAGAAATTTAACCTTTCTCATTCCAAGCTTTGCAAAATGAAGTCCAGTATTTCAACCGTTGTTGTTTGTTAAAAAGAGTCAAGTTTGGTGATGACAAAAATCTATCTATATTTCTGAGATGAGGTATTATGTACATTATTTACATTATTCGGACTATTGTCCTCATCTTTGTCGCCATATTTATTACAACGTTTCGGCCGTTGTACGCTCCGGCTTTCTTCAGGTGGTTGGAATGTCGAACTGAACCCTTTATTTCGCTCATTGGGGTAGACTGTTCTAGTTGCACGTTTAATGGATGTCAGTTATCAGTTATCTCCTGCTAATTTTCCCTCTGAAAGTTCTCCACCGCCTTAACTGGGTATTGAACTCACACGCTTTGGGTCCTGTCTAACTAACGCCTTTATCCACAGTGCCATTGTCCTTGAGGTTAGATCCAGTGACAGGACCCAAAGATTGTGAGTTCAATACCCGGTTAAGGCAGTGGAGAACTTTCAGAGGGAAAATTAACAGGAGATAACTGATAACTGACATCCATTAAACACGGCACGTGGAACTAGAACAGTCTGCCCCAGTGAACGAAATAAAATGTTCAGTTCGACATTCCAACCACCTGAAGAAGGCCGGAGCGTACAACGGCCGAAACGTTGTCATAAATATGGCGACAAAAATGAGGACAATGGTCCGAATAATGTAAACAATGGACAAAAATCTAAATAAGTCAAACTGACAAATTATGAACAAGAATAAAAACAAAAAAAATTTTTGGATGGTAGAAACAGGCCAATTTATTTATCAATGATTCCAAATCATAAAACCTTCCGGGTTTTATGATTTGGAAACAAGGTTAGCTGTGAAGTAGTCATCGGACTTCTACAATACTGGTTCTTGGAGGAATTCCGAGTATTGTTTCATAGAGATGATATAGTGGCGTGGGATTTTGGGGTTAAAATGATTGATTTACTTATGCCAAGAAGATTAATGGAGGTTGATAATGACGAGGAAAGACTCGGATAATTTTAAGAACAGAAGATAAGGAATTTATTCATAAATAATCCGAGCTGCATATTCTTAGAGCTCTAAGGCAGTTTGATGATTATGCCGGATTTTAATTATGATGAGAATAGAAATTTATTAGGTAATTTCTGAGGGTTGATTTCTGGTGGACACCGAGTTTTAAACTGATATTAACGCATTGAAGATTGATAAGAAGGGTAGGGAATTGTGTTCTTCCATTTCGTATGTAAATTCCATTGTGTATTCGACTTTGTTTAGTTGATCTACTAGGTTAGGTAAATCAGTATCACGAGGATATATAAGTAGAACATCATCAATATAACGGAAGTATGTTGATTATTTGTGCAAAATGTTTTGGAAAGGACCGGATTCAAAAAATTCTAAGAAGATACATGCGATCATTGCACTGAGAGGCGATCCCATTGGTAATCCAAATTTTTATATGTAACAATCATTAAATATGAAGTAGCATTGATTGGTGATGAGATGGTGGATTTTTATTAGTTTAACTGTTGAAAGAGAGAGAGAGCTTTATCTTTGTGTTGAATGCTTTTTTAAAGAGATTTAGGCATTTTTCAACTCGGACGTTGGTGGAGAGGAATTTTATATCTAGACTGGCTATGCGTTTGTCGGTCATGTACATTTCCCTTAGTTTTTCAACTAGGCTACCCGAGTTCTTTCAGATAAACGGATTGTTCCAAGGAGAGGGGTTAGAAGTTTTGTTATGGCCTTCGCCAGTTTATGGGGGACGTTGTCTATTCATGAAAAAAAATCTAAAATTACCAGCACCCCTCTGTCGGGCGCATGTGTAGTCCTACTAACATAACAAAATTGAAGTCCTGGAGGACGAAACGCATCACAAGTAAACTTTTTCCACTTTGTCATACAATATTTTGGCGGGAGCTGCCCAGTCCTGCCAATTTTTTGAAAGTATGCAAACGTATATCTTTTCGATAAGCAACGAAGTTACTTAAATTTGTTTTAAATATTTTAGTGTCAGATCATTTAATCTGTTATATCAGGGGTGGCCAACCTTTTGATTCCATGCGCCAATATTTTGTACGATTAATTTAAATGCGCCACACAAACATTCACTTCCTTTCAGTACGTGTTGTAATATGGACATATTTTAAAGGTATAATAAAATCTATTTATTTGAAAAATATATGCTTATGACGAGGGGCGTATCCTTTTAGCACTTTCGCAAAGGACGTGCAATAAATATAAAATCACTGAAATGAATGAGTATAAGTGGCTTAGTTTCTTTTCATCAAAAGGATGAAATGCTACACTTATGGCGCATGCGCCACAGGTTGGCCATCCATGGGTTATATGAACATTTCATCGTCATGGCATTTCGTTATAACTACAGACTTTTAAAATTTCTGATTTATTTTCCTGAAACCAGCTTCTGGCAAAATTTCAAGCGTATAAATTTGTGAATCAAGGAAACATCCTCTTGGGAGTCAGTTCCACAGGGTTCATGAGAAGAAGCTGTTCGAGTGAAACTTACTTCTCGCCGATGGAATACGAAGGCAATGTAGGTGGTTTGCTACTATGTAAATGTCATGGCGGGTCCTAGCCGCTAAGGTTAGACCTGGCGGGACCAAGGAATGTAGTTCGTCTGAGCACTTTTCATGGAATTGGCGATAGAGCAGTGAGAGGCTCACCACATCTCACCTGTTGGAGAGTAGAAAATTCTTCTTCTTCAACAACGACTTCGAGAAGCTTTTGAACACTATCAAGGCAGGAAAGTGCGGACTGGGCAGCTCCCGCCAAAATATGGCAAGAGCACCGTAAATGATAGCATGGGCACAAGTTAAGAGTTAATAGAGATTCTGGGGTACTGTGATGGCTGTAGTAAGGATGGTAACCAAGAATGTGTTCTTTGGGTGTATGGAATTCTGTGGTATGTGATTTGGGCTAACTGAATTTAATTAGAAGACAGATGAAACTCAGTTTTCCCTATTCACATTTTTGTATTTTACAAAATACATATTACTTTCCTCTATGGTACCTAAACTCATTTTACAGTTGAAAGGGCCAAATGCAACCGTAAGTTCTATGCTAACAGTTTCTTCCATCGCACTTCTCACTTGTGGAACGTTTTTCCGGCTTCTTGCTTCCCAGTCAAGTTTTATTTATTTATTGTTCAAATGAACTTTCCTCTATATTTTTTATACTGTAAGTCTCACCTTGTTCAAGACTTGGGGTGGGGGGAGAGCACGATGTAGAGGGTTACATTAAGAGGCAGTTTATACAGATAGGAGGGGAAGATAACGGTTAAATCTAGACTTGAACAGGTTAAGATTGTAGTGATCGGGGAAACATCCCCTTGGGGGTCTGTTCCACAGGGCAGTGGCTCGCGGGAAGTCGTTGTTTAAGTAGAACTTACTTCTCGCCGATGGAATACGAAGAGGATGTGGGTGGGTTGCTACTATGTAAGTCACATAGCGGGTACTAGTTGTGGAAGTTAGACCTGGCGGAACCAAGGAATGCAGTTCGTCCGCGCACTTTCCATGGAAGTAGCGATAAAGCAGCGAGAGGTTAGCCACCTCCCGCCTGTAAGAGAGAGGTTGGAGAGTAGAAAATAATTCTTCTCCAACAAGGACTCTGAGAAGCTTTTGAGCTCTATCAAGACTGGAAAGTGAGGTCTGGAGAGCTCCCGCGTAAATATGACAACAGTACTCTATTTTTAGCCTGATCTGGCTCTTGTAAATGTAGAGCATAGCCTGAGGAGTCAGGTACTTACTAGAGTGATACAAGGAGCCGGTCATTTTGCCTGCATCTTTAGCGATGGATCGTATCTAGGAGTTCCACTTGAGGTCGGTTGTGTGTTTGCTGTCCAATATCCTCTCGAGTCACGTGGACTTCTCAAGGAGACATCCGTTCATCGTGACTGGCGGTAGTTCGTGGTCTGACAGTGGAGTGGTTTCCTGTTGTCATCCCCGGATTTGAACCCAGAGTTGTCTTTCATTTAGGGTGTTTGCCTCCCAGGGCCAGAAAGTTCGGACCACTCTGCTATTTAATCCATATAACTGGGGCTGGCGGGAAGAGATGGCATGGTGTCTTGACCCTTTTTCCAAGGGCACTAATATTAAGGGATTGCAACTAACTCACGATTTGAATCGGTTCACCGAATTCACTATCCATACCAATAAATTTGGCACGACTCGTTCATGCAGACTTGTGGAAATATGAGATTATAATACACGTTCTCTTCTATGGCAGTTGATATAAACATTTAATTTCAGTTCTCATGGTGGAGAAATATTTTAGATATAGCGTTAGGATGGCAAGTGTTATCTTGTTTTACCTTTTCTATTTATTTTTTCCTTGTATTATTTTCCTTACTGTGTTCTTATTTCTGTCTAGATTCACTACTATAACGCAGCAAAAACGGCACATTGTAACGCGATTTTGTTTGCGCAGTATCATTAAAATGGGCTAATTTAGAGAATGGACCTTTTTCTAATACAATCGGTCAACCTATTTCTGTATTTTTTTTTTTTTTTTTTTTTATGAAGTCTGAATTGACAAAAATAAATGTCCAAGGGAGATGACTCCGAGCTTTTTAACTACCAGCTGCAGTCATTGTATCATAGTTTTCTTTTTTTTCTTTCCTCTTTTTTTTCTTTCTTTCCTCTTTTTTTCTTTCTTTCCTCTTTTTTTCTTTCTTTCCTCTTTTTTTCTTTCTTTCCTCTTTTTTTCTTTCTTTCCTCTTTTTTTCTTTCTTTCCTCTTTTTTTCTTTCTTTCCTCTTTTTCTTTCTTTTTTTCTTTTTTTTTTTTCTTTCCTCTTTTTTTTTTTTCTTTTTTTCTTTCCTCTTTTTTTTTTCCTCTTTTTTCTTTCCTCTTTTTTTCTTTCCTTTTTTTTTTTCCTCTTTTTTCTTTTCCTTTTTTTCTTTCCTCTTTCCTTTTTTTTTCCTCCTTTTTCTTTTCTTTTTTTCTTTTTTTTTTTCTTTCCTTTTTTTTTTTTCCTCTTTTTTTCTTTCTTTTTTTTTTTTCTTTTTTTTCTTTCCTCTTTTTTTCTTTCCTCTTTTTTTCTTTCCTTTTTTTCTTTCCTCTTTTTTTTTTTTTTTTTTTTTTCTCTTTCCTCTTTTTTTTTCTTTCTTTTTTTCTTTCCTCTTTTTTTTCTTTCCTCTTTTCCTTATTTTAATTTTTTCTTTTCTTTCCTTTTCTCATTTCTCTTCTCTTTTTACCCCATTTTTCCTTTTTCTTTCTCTTTTCTTCATATTCTCTTTTCTATTTTGCTGTGCGTCATTTTTTTCACTTTTGTTCATAATTTTACTGACCCTGTAACTTGCTCAACTGATGGTGGCTCTATTAAAAGTCAATAACCTTGAAGGACATCTTTAAACTAAGGTCAAACGTTTAGCCTTTTTGTGAGTCGGGGATGACACCAAGCAAATTGGATTCTTTCAAGTAAATACTGCTGGCAACTGGGCATATAGCTTTCGGGTGGAAATAAAAACTTATTTCGGAAATCCCTACTTGAACCTACAAACTCACTTATGAATATCGCGCCCACCCATTGGTGTTATTTTACTGAAATGACTTCCAGACAAACTGGTTGTATCTTTGAGACATGAAATGAATTATATATTCGGTGTGTATCCTATTCTCCCAGTGATGTCTCATGTCAATTATATTTTAGAGAAAGTAATGGTTTTCTTTTTATTAATCCGCGACAGACTGATCGCTTTAAACGTTATTTCAGTAGACGCTATGTTTATTAAACGGTATATTTATGTTGGTCTGCCTGCCTGAATGTTTGAGAAATCTTGTTAAAAAAATTACGCTCTCTGGCAGGATTCGAATCTGCATCCCTTTGCGTAAAAGGAGCTATCGTTGAATCCGATACGCGCAGCTTAGCTAAACAATACCAATTAGTCCGGCAAGACCGAATTGTACCTTTAAGCGATACTTCCTTCGTCATGAAGTTCCCGAAATTTTTCTCATCTCCCAGAGAGCGTAAGATTCTTAGCTTTTAAAAAGATTTCTCGTAAATTCGAGTCGCTAGAAGAAAATAAATATAATGTTTGAGTAAATGCTCCGTTTATTTATTAAATACAAGTATTCACTAAAAATAACGTTTAAAGTGATATATTCTGTCTGGCTTTCTGGGATGAGGTGTTGCTATTTATATTTGGACTAATTCATGCATCTCCAGGAAGGGAAAGGCTACAATGGCCAAAACGTTGTTATAATAACAAAGATGAGGACATTAGTCCGAATATAATAAATGAGTTTTCTTTATATATATTTATACTTACACTAACACAGCAAAAATAGCACATCAGAGCGAAAGGTTTGCTAGGGCAATTTTGATAGTTTTTTTTTTTAATTTCATGAATGAGGCAATTTTTAGTTCAGTTTGCAATGATGATGATTATAGTAACAAATAATTTAATAAAAATAATAATGCCAGTAGTCGAGAATGGGCAAGTGAAGCTCATGTGAGATACGATTCTTTTGACTGACAAGCGCTTGGAGTGCAATCGCCCTGATGTCACAATTGTGCGCAAGAGTAGGCGTGAATGGATAGACGTTGCGGTATATTTGGATAAGAACATAGCAAATGTGAGCAGGCGAATATAGAGAGGTGGCAAGGCAAATCAGAGAAATTTACCAAGCAGCAGTTGTCCCCGTTGTGTTTGGCATATTCGGGACAATTTCCATTAATGTTTCTGTTATGCAGGATGACTTGAGGATACCTAACATTGTTGGAAGTGACCAGATGACAGCACTGTTTGCAATAGCTCGTATGCTGTGGTAAGTTTTGCGGGTAAAAGCTGATATATGATCATCATTACTTGGCTGGAACATCTAAGTCGAAAAGGATATCACATTAAATAATAATAATCATTTCTAGCATTAGTTTTTTTTTCTAAAATCCCTGAATGAACGAATGGCAGAATATTTCATTCGGATTATGTCATTCCGGAAATTATCCAACTGTTTATGATCAAATAGTTCATGTAAAAAAAAAAAAAAAAAAAATGGTGTCTTAGTCAGGTTTGGAATTTTTCAACTGCACAAGAGCAGACATTAAGGGATCCTGATAGACATTGCGGTACCTCGGGATTGTAGAAGTCAAACGACTTTCCTGTTAACATGGCTACCTTCTTGTGTCCCCGTTTAAAGGCAAGCCAGCTAATTTTATAAATTTATAGGAGAGTACCTATTGCAAGCTAACCAATATTCAACAGGAATAATGTTGTAGTATACCTACGGACGATAATGGATATGTTCCCATTCACATAAATATAATAGTAAATACTGTATGTTGGTCTGCATTTGGAGACTCGTCTCCAGCTGTGTTGGTCAAACTCTCTGCTTCCGAGCAGAGAGGATCCCCAGACGAGGCTATGTCGAAGAGCAGAATCTCGTCTTGGGAAACAGCTACCTGAACCCATTTTATGCGGGGTCTACAGGGAATTTTTGGCCGAGCCTACGGGCTCGGATATACCACATTAAATTCAGCCTTGTGCCACATCTGACCGCGTGGGGCGGTTGGTAGATATCCTGCAGTTGGAGATTCATTGTGGAATTCTCTTGACTCGCTTCTAGCAGTTGAATACTTCTACGCGCCGCTGGCGAATCTTATATATATTGTTCTTGTCCTAAGTGTTATCATTCATTACCAACCTTCGTGTGATTATTCTATTGAGTAATCTTCCCTAGGTTACAGCAAACAACATCATGGAGGCTAAATAAGAGAAAATACATATCTACCAATACCTGGAAGAGCACATCAAAGAACTGTTCCATGTAGCAGCTCAAGTTATTTTGACTGACAAGCGCTTGGAGAGCAATCGTCCTGATATCAATATTGTGCAACTGAGTAATGAATGGATAGACGTTGCTGTATATTTGGATAAGAACATTGTGAAGGTGAACAGGCGAATATAGAGAGGTAGCCTGACCTGGCAGGGTAAGTCGGAGAAATATACAAAGGTGCAGTTCGTTATCCCCGTTGTGCTTGGCGCACAGGGGGAAATTTCCATGAATCTTTTTGCTACGCAGGACGACCTGGGGGGACACCTAACATCGATGGAATTGGCAGCTCATGTGCTGTGGTAAATGTTGGGTCTACGAGTAAGAGCTGATATGTGATCATCACATGGCCAGAGCATCTGAGAATCGAAAAGGATATCACATTAAATAATAATAGTAACAATGATTTCTAAAAGAAATATTTAAAAAATAAACAAAAAAAAAAAAAAAAAAACCACCAAAAAAAACACTGAATGAACGAATAGAGGAATATTTCATTCGGCATATGTCTTTCCGGGAATTATCCAACCGTTTATGATCAAATAATTAGAAAAATGGTGCACAATTTTATTTTTCTTATCTTTTTGCTACTAATCTGTAAATATCATCCCAAGTCTGGTTGCAAAAATGGAGTTTTCAGTACTTAGCCTCCTACTCATAATACCCATGCATTCTCTACAGTGCTTTGTCTGGCTCTATGCAAAATGTCAATCGTTTCAGATTGGATAAGGTACAACGTCGTCTTTAGTTTCCATCTAAAGTTCACGGTTTTCATATTTTTTTAACATTTCATTTTAGGAGAAGGATGATAACTTTGTACGAACGTTGACAGAAACATTGAGAAAAAAACCTAACAAAGTCTGGTGACAATTTCAAGTGGTGCTGGGCTTCCCTGGGTTAGTGATAATGCTGTTTGGGCTCCGAAAACCAGGCCTGACCTGATGTAGGCTTTGTTGATCGCACAGGTGTTGTTTTCATATCAGCTTTTGATGGATATATAAAAGGAGCCACTCCACCTTACGTAGATATGTACCTGCATCCACCTCTCTAGTCCGTCTCCGTTCTCCACCTCTCTAGTCCGTCTCCGTTCTCCACCTCTCTAGTCCGTCTCCGTTCTCCACCTCTCTAGTCCGTCTCCGTTCTCCACCTCTCTAGTCCGTCTCCGTTCTCCACCTCTCTAGTCCGTCTCCGTTCTCCACCTCTCTAGTCCGTCTCCGTTCTCCACCTCTCTAGTCCGTCTCCGTTCTCCACCTCTCTAGTCCGTCTCCGTTCTCCACCTCTCTAGTCCGTCTCCGTTCTCCACCTCTCTAGTCCGTCTCCGTTCTCCACCTCTCTAGTCCGTCTCCGTTCTCCACCTCTGTTTTTTTAGTTTCCGTTGACGATTATGGCTCTCCACAATTTCCTATCCTTTGTAGCTAGAGATTTATTTTCTTTTTGCTATCTCATCCAAGCCATGTTCCGCCATCAGCTAACTTAAGTTTGCTGGCTTCATGGAAGTATTCTTCTTCTTTGGCGATTATGGCTCTCCACAATTTTCTTCGCAACTCTTAATAAATTATCTCTCCTAAACCTTGCTTCGCCATCCATTTACTCAAGCTAGCTAGTTAGGGGTCATATAGGAATGAAGTGTCGTTTCCGACACTTATCGCCAAATATCAAGCACAATCGACCTCATCTTGAAATAATTAGATCACGTGACGAGTAAAGGAAAAATAGCTATATGGGAATTATTCGATGGCGTTACTATTATTGTATATGTGACTTACAAAGTCTCTTTTACTTATAATTACTAAATAACTAAAATTAAATTAAAACTTTTTTTTTTTTACCAAAATACGTTGTTTCTTATTTGTTTGTCGCACACGTGATGAAATGTCATTGATAGGGTAGTAGAAATATATAAGTGTATTGCTAATCATTTTTACTATAAAACACATTGATTATCCTGGGTAAGACGTTAAACTACATCCGCGTCCTGGGTAAGACGATAAACTATGTCCAGCAGCAAGGCCTCAGATCGGGAGGTTTTGCGGAGCGTGGAACCACCTCTTAATTGCTGGTGTTCCCAGGTCCAACCTGACCCGGGGTGGTAGCACCTGTTAGGGTCCCAGCTATGGCAAATAGTTATTACCAGCAATACTTTTTTTGAAAGCAATTATTACCAGTAATGCAATTTCGAAGGAGAAATGTTGCCAGAAGCAGATTTTTGATAAAACAAAATATTGCCAGTAATAAAAAGTTTTTTCGGCATTGGGTAGCCCATTGGGGTTGATGTACTGTAAAACAAAATAAAGCAAACCAATCTAAACCAAAGAATACATATTCTATTCATACGAATCTATCCTAAAAATGTTGTCGGCATTAAATAACCCATTGAGGTTGATATGCTGTAAAACAAAATAAACCAAACCAATCTAAACCAAAGAATACATATTCTATTCATACGAATCTATCCTAAAAATCTTGTCGGCATTATATAACCCATTGAGGTTGATATGCCGTAAAACAAAATAAAGCA